TATAACTTTGAATGTAAACACAATACCATAGAATTTCTAGAAGATAGGATTAGTGATGATCTAGGTGACCTTAGGTTTGGTAATGATTTTTAGATACAATGCAAAAGACATGATACATGAAATAAAACATTGATAATTTGACTTCATTAAAATTTTCTGCTCTGGAAAAGACACTGACAAGAGAGAAAAGACAAGTCACATACTGGGAGAAAATATTTACAGAACACATATTTAGTGAAGGACTTGTATCCAAAATATACAAAGAACTCATAAAATTTAACAAGAAGAAAAGAAACAAACCAATTTCAAAAAATGAAGAAAGTTCTGAACAAATTCCAAAGAAGATATGCAGATGACAAATATGTACATGAAAAGGTTTTCCACATCATATTTCATTAGGGAATTCCAAATTAAAACAAGAATGAAATACCACTACACACTGAAGAAGACATTGGCCTTGAAGTAATAGATGGCTTCATCCACAATATATGTATCTTTTGTTTCTCTGGGGGCAAGTCCTTTGAACTGACTTCTTATAGGTAATAGGGCCATGTTTCCAATGAGTTTGGTGTTGGGGTCCATGAGAGAAGATTGGTAAGCCAGCATCTTGGCAGCACCGGGCTTTGGACCCAGAGGAGTAGGACCTAGTTTGACAGTGTCTTTTTAAAATACTCAATACAAAGAGCAAACCCCATTGTTCTGTAGACTTTAGTTAATAATGAAATCCCAATATTGGTTCATTAGTTGTAAAAAGTGTACCACTTTAATACAAGGTGTTTCAATAGGGCCAATAGTTTGTGTTTGGGGTAGAGGGGAAGTTGTTACATACAAATGCTATGCACTTTGACTAATTTTTCCTTAAACCTAAAATGCTAAAGGAATTCAAGGACAATTTAAGGTTTTCATATAAATAGTGTAAAGATATAAGTAGAGAGGTGCTCACTGAAACTTTTTTATGTGAAAAATCTATTGAAAACTGTAAAATACTGACAAAAGAAATTGAAGGTGAGACAAATAGAAAAATATTATGTGCTCATAGATTGGAAAAATTAATGTTATTAAAATATCTGTCCTATCCAAAGTGATCTACCAGTTCAATATGGTCCCCATCAAAATTCTGCAGAGTTTCCACAGCAATAGAATAATGAATCCTAAAATTTGTTTGGAATTACAAAAGACCTGAATAGCCAAAGCTGTCTTGAGCAAAAAACTACAAAGCTGGTGGCATCATATTATTTGATTTGGAAATCTCCTGTAGAGCTGCAGTAATCCAAATAATCTGGTACTGGCATAAAAATAGACACATAGACCAAAGTAACCAAATAGAGAACCAAGAAAATAAATCTTCACATTTATGGTAAATTGATTTTTGGCAAAGATGCCAAGAACACAAAAAAGGGAAAGAATAGTCTCTTCAAGAAATGGTGCTAGAAAAACTGATTAGCCACATGTCCAAGAATAGAATTTGTCCTTATTTCACACCAAATGCAAAAATCAACCCAAAATGGATTAATGACTTACATGTAAGAACTCGAAACTGTAAAACTGCTAGAAGAAAACAGAGGAAGAACTCTATGACATTGTCCCGGGCAGTGATTTTTTTCAGATATGACTATAAAAGCCTGAGCAACAAAAGTGCAAATAGATGAGATTATATCAAACTTAAAAAGATCTGCACAGCAAAGGAAGCAGAGTAAAGAAACAACCTATTGAATGGGAGAGTGTATTTTGAAGCCATACATCTGATATGATATCAATATCCAAAATTTATCCATGTGTGGATAAATGTACCTGTAGTCCCAGTTACTGAGGAGACTGAAGCAGGAAGTTCAGCCTGGCCCCATCTCAAAAACAAACAAACAAACAAACAAACAAAAAACACTATAGTTTATAAGAAACTAAGACAGTTTCATAGTAAGAAAACATATACCCCAATTTAAAAAACGAGCAAAGGACCTGAACAGTCAATTCTCAAAATAAGACTTACTGATAGCCAATAGGCATATAAAATAATGCTCAACAGATTTGCAAATCAAAACCATAATAAAATATCACCTCATACCTGGTAAAATGGCTAGTATCAATAAAACCAACAATGGGAAGTGTTGGTGAGAATATGGAGAAAAGGGAACCCTTATACACTTTTGGTGGCTATGTAAATTAGTACAGCCATTAGGGAATATATGGAGTTTCTTCCACATATTCTACCGTATGATCCCACAATTCCACTATTCGATATATATTCACAGAAAATTACATCAGTGCATTGAAGAGAGATCTGCACTCCCATGTTCACTATAGACTATTCATAATAGCCAAGATATGGAATCCACCCACATGTCCATTAGTGGGTGGATGGATAAAGAAAATTTTGTATGTATACACAATGGAATAGTATACAGCTGAAAGAAAGAAGGATATTCTTTCATTTGTGACAATTTGAATGAACGTGGAGGATATTTTGTTAAGTGAATAAAGCAGGCTTATAAAGACAAGTGATACATGATCTAACCTATGTATGGAATCTAAAGTTATTGAACTCATAGAAACAAAGAGCAAGAAGAATGTTTTGAGGGGAGGGGCAGAGGAGTATTTGCTTAAAGATTACAAAATTTTTGTTAGATAAGAGGAATTAGGGGCTGGGGTTTTGGCTCAGTGGTAGCATGCTTGTGTGTCATGCGTGAGGCACTGGGTTTGATTCTCAGCACCACATACAAATAAATAAAATAAAGGTCCATCAACAACTTATACACACACACACACACACACACACACACACACATACACACAAAGAGGAATTAGTTCAAGGGATCTATTGTACAGCCTGATGACCATAGTTAAAAATAATGTATTGTGTTCTTGAAAATCTCTGGAGAGTAGATTTTAAATATTTTAACTACAAAAAAAGTGATAAATATGTGAGGTAATACATGTGTTAATTAACTTAATGTTTATTATATATATTACTGCTTCATTTAGCTGTTCCATAATATACATATTTGAAAATGTCATGTTGTACATAATAAATGCATACGCTTTTTGTCAATTAAAAATAAATTTTTTAAAATTTTGCTCTATAAGTAAACATAGTCACTACTTATGGTATGAAAATATATTATGAAATTATACAGACTTTAAATAAGTGAAATCATAAGTGAGGGTACAAGTTAACCAGTTAAATCCCATTTTTCAAGTCTGTGAATGTTTGATTGAGATTGACATAGGTGCCCTAAAATAGGTTGGAAATAATAATCTAGAACTTATTTTTTATTATATTAATTAATGTTAATGTTATAGCTGTTAGTGTAATACAACTATGTTCTTATTGTTACATAAACATATATTATATACTATGCTAAAGTTTTTATAGGTGTTTAATATCTGAGAAAATGGGATGAAATGGATTAAAAAGTAATTGAGGAATCAGAATTTACAGGACTCCTTTTCTGAATATGAACAAAAGAATGGAGTCAAATGTGTTGCTTATCTCTCTGCTTTGGTTTGAACTGAACATTGAAGAGTAGAAAATAAGATGCTTCTAGACTTCAACTTACTTATTTCAAAGTTTATAGGCATGGAGATGTCCACAAAGCAATAAGATATATGGTTCTTGAAACAGAATGTGTTTGAAAGAGATCTATCTATATTGAAGACTGGTACTGGAAGCTGTAAGAATTAATTAGATAAGCCAGGAGCGGTGGCGCACCCCTATAATCCCAGCGTCTGAGAAGGCTGAGAAAGGAGGCTGGTGGGTTCAAAGCCAGCCTCAGCAATGGCGAGGTGCTAAGCAACTCAGTGAGACCCTGTCTCTAAATAAAGTACAAAATAGGGCTGGGGATGTGGCTCAGTGGCTGAGTACCCCTGAGTTCAATCCCTAGTACCTCCCCCCACAAAAAAAGAAATAATTAGATCACTCAGAGAAAGTGAAAGAATGTATCCCCAGAGGTGTCAAAGCAAAGTCATGGGAAGACAGAATTTTCTCTTTTCTTTAATCCCCTGCTCTCCCTGCTTCCCTTCCTCTCCCTTCTTCTCCTATTGCTGGAGATTGAACCCAGTATCTCTCGTGCTAGGCAAGTGCTCAATCACTGAGCTACATCTTCAGCCTAGGAAAACATAATTTTTAATGGAGAATATTTAATAGAGCTGGAGTAAGTTCAAACTGGAAAATAAATATTGGATGTGGTAGCAATTAGTTAATGGGTTCCTGAATCTGTCCTTGTTGATGGATTATTAGTAATAGAATCCTCATTGTTCTGGTGTTCTGCAGACTCATTTGTCCTGAAAATATTATTTCCTAGGTAAATAAATTCCAGAATACTTCTTAGAGCATTTCATATGCTACTGTACATCATATATCTCTTAATTTATAGGGAATCTCCAATTTATGTGATTTGGGAATCTTTACTATTTGAGAATATTTTAAGATTAGTGTTACATAAAACACATTTTAGGAGACATAATGACATATTAGTCTTTTTGAAATAGATTGATAGTAAAGAAAGCCAAGAGCTATTACAATAAGTAGTGCGACAACATAGCATGAAGTTGAAACCTAGGGATACTTATAAGCAATGTGAAGAAACTAGAGGATATAGAGAAGGGTAGTATTGCTAGAAGGAAGCGCTCGGAGTCCCAGAAGAGTTAAAAGGGACTAGGATCCTGGAGAAGGTTTGCTTTTGAACAGAGATAAAGCAAGAAAAAGGGTACAGCTTCTGAGGGCAGTGAAGGCAGTTTGCTCATTTAGTGAAGTAAAAAAATGTTTTCTTGCAGACCAAAAAATAAAAAATAAAATAAAAAGAAGAAAGGAAGGAGACAAAAGATAGAAATGGCCACATTGAACTTTTGGAAAAAGAAAATATTAATGGAGACTGTGATATGAGTCAGTTTCCCAGTTGTGTAGCTCACTGAATGTAAATGTGAGATGGCTTCAAGTCATTTAAATTTCTGTCTTTTTCAAACTGGAAACGGAATTATATTTTAAATTTCATATTACTTCACAGGATGCTAGGCATGCAGCGGAAGAGGAGATTTATACCAACTTAAATCAGAAGATTGACCAGTTTCTGCAGCTGGCAGACTATGACTGGATGACAGGAGATTTAGACAACAAAGCAAGCGATTACCTTGTAGACCTCATTGCCTTTCTGCGGAGCACTTTTGCTGTATTCACGCACCTTCCTGTAAGTGACAGTGCCTCTTACTTTGCTCTTGGGTACAGAAAAAAAAGTTCCTTGAGCTCTAATTTTGTGAAAGATATTAGTTTCTGATTTAACTTACTGTTTGGTATTAAAAACTCACACTTTATTCATCAAACCTTAGTGATATTTTCCCTTTACTTTTACATTTTGTTTATTTTGAAAATGATCCCTAATGTCCTGTCTTCCTATTAACTTCAGGATAATTAGTACAAAGACATAATGAAAGCCTTGGTAGAAATAAAAGAGAAATATCAGAGTCAGAATTTCCATATATATATTTATTTTACTTTTAGAATCTTTTAATTTTTTTATAAATTGAAATTCTCTGATAAAATTCTTTGCTTTTTAAAATATAATTTGTCATTATTTTCTTGAGGATCATAGTTATAATTATTATAGCAATGTGTACTAACTCATGTATTATTTATCTACATAGTAGTAGAGTTATTTCTGATTTTTTCCTTGATTTTCTGTCATATGTTTCTGTGTCTTCCTAGTATTTTTTTGGTTGTTGTTAGACATTCCTTTACTGAATAAGTAGAAAGGGAAGGCAGGTTGTGGTTTGAGATCAGTTAGTCCACTTATGGACTGATGTGGGCTAAGGGTGGGTTGCTGATGTCCTGAATGGTTGTTTGTCCCTGTTGCTGGATATGATTCTACTGGGCCTTTTCTAAGAGCTTGGCATGTCATAATCTCTTTAAAACCAAAGAGGATTTTAGAGATTTTTACATTTTAGAGAACCTTGTGTATTCAGCTTTCTGCCTTCTTTGGTTTTAGACAATTTGACAATTGAGAAAGGAGTATTAGCCATTCTCAGGTCAGCAATTAATAACAGGAAGAAAGTGTGGTGGTAAGTTGTCATTGTCAATTTTCCATTTCTCCAAGAAAATAGTTCTTCCTGTGGTCTGAATGTGTACCCCAAAATTCACATGTTGATACTAATGACCAATATGAGGACAACAGGAAGTGAAGCCTTGGGAGGTGGTAGATCATGAGAGTAGAGTTCTCATGAATGAGATTAATTAATTTATAGAAGAAGCTCCAGAAAAGTGGCCGTTTTCTTCCAACATGTAAGTATGCAGCATGTAGATGCCTTTCATGAAATAGCAAGTCAGCTCTCACCAGACAATGAATCCGCTAGCACCTTGATCTTGGACTTCCTAGCTTCAAGTACTGTAAGAAATCAATTTCTGTTGTTTATAAGCAGTCCATGGTGCTTTGTTATTGCAGTAACTGCCTACCTGAGATTTTTCCATTTGTTAGTATTTTTCTCTGAAACACTGGGTGACTATGAGAAATGTTTTCAAAGGCTTTGATTTCATCCTTACATTTTTCAATGATGTAGATTTGGAATGGAGCAAATGTCTTGAGAGGAAAATTGGCCATCAAAGCTCTAATGTTGGCATTCTAACTCCTTGGAACCAGCAAAAATTTAATGGTTTATTTGACCGCTAGTTGCTAGTATATACCTGGACCTAACTTCAATTCTCAGTCTGATGCCTATGCTGAGTTTTGACCAGTGCCCTCAGAGACAACTGCAGATCTTTAGCTCAGCTTTGTAAGGTTCTGCCTTCTCTGCAGTTATATTCTGCTCAGCTTTAATAGTATCCTTAAAATTTTCATTTTTGGCCACATTTTTTACTGATTTACTTGTTCTTAATAGGAAATTAGGTCATTTCATCTAGCTTAATTGTAATTCCTAAGCCAGACAAAACTAGCACAAAAAAACTCCACAAATTAGTCTGACAATTATGGATAATAAATAAATAATTGAAAACAATTCCCAGTGTTTTAAGAAAGTAATTTAGTGCTATTCTATGGGATTTATTCCAGGAATGCCTGGATGGTTCAATGTTTTAACAATTCTATTAATATGATTTATCACATTGCTATGTGAAGAAGATAAATTATTGATTTTATCTGATGTTTTTCTCTCCAAGCCTTTAAAATTCTATCCTTATTCTTTATACTAGGAATTTTCATTATAATGTGCCTTAATGTGGGTCTGTTTTAGTTTTGTATATTTAGGAGTCCTATAAGCCTCTTGTATTTGATTTTCCATTTCATTCTTTAGATTTGGGACATTTTCTGATATTATTTCATTGAAAAGATTGTGCATTCCTTTGGTTTGTATCTCAGCACCTTCATCTATCCCAAGAAATCTTAAATTTTGTCTTTTAATGTTATCCCATAATTCTTGGAAGTTCTGTTCATGGTTTCTTAATATCTTCTCTCTGTGGTCAGCTCTATTTTCAAGATTATATATCTTGTCTTCATTGCCTGAGGTGTCTTCCAAGGGGTCTAGTCTGTCGGTAATGCTTTCTATTAAATTTTTAATTTGGTTTTGTAAGGGTCCGGCGAAGCGTCGGAGGAAGAGACCACCAAGAGACTGACTCATGCAATTGCAGAAGGGGATTTATTGGGGATCCATTCCAGCACGCTGGGGCTCTGTGCTCACTCAAGAATGGAGAGCAGCCCAGAGCCCAGAGCAAGGGTTGAGCAATGCTTAAGTACACTTTTTGGGGAGGGCGGGGACTTTACATACATCACAGTCTCCTTTAACAAATCATCATACACCGCGGGAAAATCAAACAACAATTCTGAGACATGATTAGTACATTCATTGGCGGGAACAGGTCAGGCGGGGGTGATAGGTCAGTTCTAAAGCAGGGTACACATTCAAACTGATTGGTTCAGGCCCTGTGATGTCTACATGCAAGGTCACACAGAGTCCTAGGTTATTAAACAACCAGGCGGTCAGGGGAAATATTTACTAGGCGGTTCCAAGTATTGTCTTAACAGCTACAGGAATTTCAGGTTTTACGTGTAGCATAGGAATTTAACAATACCTGGTCCTTTACATTTTAACTCAGGCCTTGCAGCTTAGAAACTTTACAGTGCCCGGTCTTTTATACTTTAACTTCAATTTCTTTTACCCTTACAGTTTATTGTTTCCTTCATTTTGAAGATTTCTGCTTTTTTTTTCAGAATTTCTGCCTCTTTATTGAAATGATCTTTCACTTCCTGTATTTTCTCTATGATTTCATTCATTATATGTCCTTTGCTTTGCAGATGAGTTTAATGATGTATATTTTAAACTCCTTCTCTGACATTTCTTCCATTGTGGTGTCAGTGGATTCTGTAATTGGAGTATCTTGGTTTGCTTGGGGTGATTTGTTGCCTTGCTTTTTCATGTTGTTTGTGTCCCTACCCATCTAAAAGTTCGGATATGAGGCAGTAGAGTTTCTACCCTGTGGACATATAATGTCCCTGAAGGTTTCCTGTACCTCACTGTTTAGGGTGAGGCAAATAATAACAACAACCAATGCAAACAATATGCATTGCAAATAGTTCCTACTATGACGTCTACAATGTTAATTATCACAAAACAGAAATTATATGATCAGTTATTGCCTATAATAAAAACAACAAGTTTGCAAAAGGGTTTATAATTTCAAATAGTGGACAGAAAGAGAGCAGAAGTTATATAGGATGTAATGACTGTGAGGCAGGAGAGAAGACAGAAGTAAAAGATTAAAGGAAGAGTGAAAGAACATGGAGGTTAGCTGTTAGTGGGAGAAAAGAGAGAATCAAGGGAAACAGGTAGGAGAAAAAAATATATAAAGTAAAATAAAAATATAAAACAAAACTAAAACAACTGATCAAACATCCTAGTTTACAAAAAAACTAATCCATGAAAAATAACTGGCCAGTTGTGTCTCACCCAGCTCATCCTGGAAACAGTGGAATTGGAGGAAGAGGGGTAGAGCCCGGTGGGTTTCCAAGACCAGTTGTCCCCTGTGTAAACTTCTGTCCACGTTTTGATTTTCTCCTGATCACGTAAGCACACTCCATGTCGTGCAGTGTGTATTTACTGGGCTGGGATTTCAGGCCAAACTTGGGTTTACCAGGAATTAGCTTCCTCAGATGCTGGCCCCTGTGCCAAGGCTGCAAAATGTTTCCTTCCTTTGTCCTCTTCAGGCTGCCACCTGGAGAGATGGTGGCTTCTTTCCCCACACATGGATATCCTGCAGCAAGTCTTTCAGGTTTGTTGGGCAATGTCCTTGATCTTTAAACATTCCATTTCCATACACACTTCAGTCCTCCCCCAAATGCTGGTTCCTTTAATTTCCTTATTTCTCCACTATGCTGACAAAGAGGCCACTCGGGCTGGTGCTTCAATCCCTGGCACAGCCCCCCCACCAGCCGCCCTGCGCAAAAAAAAAAAAAAAAATGCTTTAGAAATTACATTAAATAACATGGTTAGCTGGGTCCAATGGCACATCTGTGAAATTCCAGCAACTGGGGAGACTGAGGCAGGAGGATTGAAAGTACAAAGCCAGCCTCAGCAAATCAGCAAGGCCCTCAGCAACTTAGCAAGACCTGTCTCAAATACAAAAAATTAAAAGCAGTGGGGATGTGGCTAATTGTTTAAGTGTCTGGGTTCACTCCCTGGTACAAACAACAAAAAATAAGCAAGATTAAAATAGAATAAATTATAATTGTTATAATGTTAGCAGGAAGAGTGAAGCAGGTGGCATCACTATACCAGACCTTAAACTATACTACAGATTAATAGTAATAAAAACAACATGGTATTGGCACCAAAACAGACTGGTAGACCAATGGTACAGGATAGAGGACACAGAGACTAACCCACAAAATTACAATTACCTTATATTAGACAAAGTTGCTAAAAACATGCACTGGAGAAAAGATAGCCTCTTTAACAAATGGTGCTGGGAAAACTGGAAATTCATGTGCAACAAAATGAAATTAAACCCCTGTGTCTCACTATGCACAACTCAACTCAAAGTGGATCAAGGACCTTGGAATTAAACCAGAAAATCTCTGTTTAATAGAAAAAAAGTAGACCCTAATCTTCATCATGTGGGATTAGGCCCCACTTCCTTAATAAGACTCTTATAGCGCAAGAATTAAATCCAAGAATCAATAAATGAAATGGAATCAAACTAAAAAGT